GGGCTGTAAAGAAGTTGCTGACCTTGGGTTCTTAATTGTAGTCGTACTGTGTGCTGTTGTTCAGAAACGGTGATTTGTGTACTCCAGCTGTCAATTTATTTATACATTTCTAGGAGTTTCCTACTGGTGTTAGGTAACTTTTTAGTTTTGTAAAAATTGTCATTATCTTTGCTAGTTGTTGAAAAATTGAGTGGAATTTAAATTGCAGCAATAATGTGCTTTTGAAAACGATTCTGTTTCTCTGCATTGACAATAAAAGTCATGCCTTCTTGTCAAAACATCTCCAGATTCAGTTCCTCTGCATTCGTGAGTGAAGTCAGTAGGCTTTCGCTTTCTAAACAAAGTTTCCACTTGTTCAGAGATGTCGTCCTTTATTTGAAGCCGGAATTATGGGAAGGTTTCGAGGTTATTCGGTGTTTATCGCTTAGCATTTGGTGAGCTTTTTTGCATTTTGGTAATTTAGTTTAATAAGGAGTGCTGGGTAAGAAGCAATTCTATTTTAGAGTAGGTTGAATGATTAGTAGTGGTCGTATTATGATAGAGAATTTGTGAAATTTTAGTGCAATGAAATTTCCACTTGAATTTGTGTGTAATTTCAAGAACAGATGGTGGGAAAGTGGTGGTGGCGTGTTTAATGGTTTGTAGGTTTATGGGTAGTTTTTGGAAGATTTTTTGACGTATTCAGTGCTTTTGGTGAGATATAAATTAGAGGAGTTTTGTGTATAAGAAGGTTGGGACTATTTAGGTAGTTTCTACTACTTTCATTGTCGACATTAATTTCTCCCGGATCACTGGGACCAACAGAGGCGCTTTTGTGTTCGGGGAGTTTCGTCAGTTGGTGCGTTTCATTTACCGAAGTGAAAGGGTAGCATCGTGAAGATAGGAGAAGCGGCAGAATAAGTTAATCCTACAGCAAATGTTCACAGTCGTCAAACCGGTAACGAGTAATTTTAGCTGGACAGGGGAGAAACGAAGGTGTGAGCAAACACTGCATTGAAGTCACAGTGTATTTTTGCAAACACATTACAATATGAAGTTGGGCGCGACAGTGCGGTCAATGTCTCCTAAAGTTGATACCCCTTTATGACTGTTATTGCAATTGTTATTTCTAAGAAAGGCAAACAATCAGCAAAAGTTAGCAGGAGGTTAGTTTGTCAAATTTGCTCTGCCAAATTAGTTTAAAAGCCCCCACGTTTTTTAAAAATTCCTAAAATAATAATTTTCCAATTTTTAGATGGAGATGTATTTGTAATGATCAGAAGATAGCTTTTTGTAAAGAATTCGTGAGAAAGTTGCAGAACCACTGCCTTTGATCCCAAGAGTTTTTCTGCATTCTTTCTAGCAAAAAAAAAAAAAAAAGAATTTCAGAGTGTTAAAGATTTGAGTTTTCGGAAGTTGCTGTTATATATTACGGCCAAATGAACTTTTCCAAAAGTATAATATTTGAGAAGTCACCAGTTATGGTTTTATTTATTATTATTTTTTACTGACCACGGAGACTTCTACTGTAGACTGTAACTGCCAATAAATTTTTGAATTCTTAGATTTTGGAATGGATGGCAGAAAGACCAATATAACTTAAAATTCGACGAGGATGTAGTCTACCAGTCTTGAACTGAAGATTTAAAAGTGTTGGAAGTTTTTAGAAACCCACGAGGCTATATGGTTAAAATGAGACTAGTTCACCTGCTCGGCTAGTCAAGGTTGACCAATACCGCCTGTGGTTAGGTGGTGTACAAGAGTTTTTTTAAAAGGAGCATGATTTCTTGAGCTGTTTAGACAATAGACTACTTTAAGTTGCATCTGTTTTCAGTTGTTCATGACTCACCAGTCGCGGTGAAAGATTTGCAGCTAAGTATTAGTAACGGGAAAATATCATCATCAGTAATACCTGCTTGTGTTTTAATATCTAAGTTTTTGATTCAAATAAAGCTGGCATTCATAAATCTTGAAAGTATTTTGGTGGAAGAAACTTATAATAAGCTTCGTTTTTTGAAAACATATTAGTCTGTTCAATGGTAAGAGTTAATACGGAAGTGAAAGCTCATTGCCTGGTCGAATCACATAAGAAGATGATAGTAACAATGAGGAATTGCATAATATGATTAAAAACTTTCAACCTTTCAAGAAAAAGGAGTTCTGTTCTGTGTTTGTTACCACTGAGAAGTCACGTCTTTTACCAGTTTTGAGTAGATGATGCTAAAAAATTTGATTTCTTAAATAGACCGAGAAATCCTTATTTTTCCAGAAATATTTTTTTCTGATACGACTGGTAATCTAGGTAAGCTTTTGGTTCTACAATATTTAGTCAAAACTTTTTTAAAACCCTTTGGATTTTTCAGCCGTACATCGTATATTCAACCTGCATTACAATTTTAAACTTTCTTTTCCTCTCCTGATCGGTCTAAGATCGCGAAGACGAAGAGTTCATTGGCAGTTACTGCCAACGACAAAACTTGATTAATTTGGGACTGGCAGTACTCTGCTTCCCCATTAACTTGTTCTGCCATAATATATAACAAAAACTTTCAAGAGCTAAAAGATGAAAAGCAACAGACCTTGAAGTCCTATTCATTATTCGTATATTTATAAGATTCAAAATTTTTTATGTACTGCAAACTACTTTTTCAGAAAGTAATTTTCCTTTGTCAAAATGAAATACAAGGTATATAGTGTACGTGTAGTCGACGTAAAAAGGGGTTTAGTGGATGGTGCGTGAACTCGAAATAGTAATTTTTCAGGTTAGCAATTTAGCTTAGTTTTTTTTTTGTCCATATAACTATTGTTAGCTACCATAACAATTCCTCAAGTGGGGATAAAGTTCCGTAATGAGATGATTGGATGCACACATATTTTCTGCCAGTAGCCAAACAAATTCTTGGAGTTCACGGGATGAATTGTTTACACCTCGTACCAGTTTGGATAATTCTCCTATTGCGTAACAGGTTTTAAGAGTTGTAATTCCTCCTCTGCAAGTTTTCTTCATTTTTTTAGTTCCAAAATTTTAATATTTTTGGGTTTCAATTTGCACTATTGATCGATAGTGACCATCGTTAGTCATGCGGGCAGTGTTGCCAAATTTATTAGCGTTAGGGTCTTGTTTTTTTTATCAGCTACAGTTCCTTGTATTACCCCAATACTCGGTTTCGGCTTATCGCTTCTTCTGTCTGATCGTTCTCAACAAGGTTTGTGTTTGCAATGTTTGCTAAACCATTTCTTGGTAATCTTTATCTTTGTTACGATTTTAAGATTAAAATTTCATTCAGGGTTGTTTATATTAGTAGTGTTTTTAGAAGTTGTTAGTTCTCTGATTCTGCGTAACAGTGCTGATGTTGATATATTTACGTTTTTTAGCTAACTGTTATATGTAACGCTTATTGTAGTGGAAAGCGTTGAGCTGTTACTATGGAGTCGACTTCAGGCCCAGTGACAATGAAGGTTTTGACAACTAACAGTGATTGGGTCGATGAAATTGTTGAACTTGTTTTGGTACACTTTCCTTTTACTTTTAAGCTCTTTAGGTCACGATAAACTAAAGGTTTGGAATTATGCACTTTTCGGGTCATACAGCAGTCGCACAGCAGAAGCTTACCTTCAGTTCTTTGTCAAAATGAAAAGGATGAAGAAATCGGTTACTTTTAAATCTTTAGAGTATCCCAAGCCCTCATGACGAGTTCTTCGAAGTAAAAAAGTCTCAAATAATTTCTCGGAACGACGTATATGAGCTGGAAGATGAAACATTCGAGCTTTCATTTGAAGTTCGTTGTTGTACTTGTTCCTCTCTTCTATTGTTTTTTTCTTTGAGTGTAATCACGAAGTGGTTGGTGTGGAGAGAATAACCAGTGTTTTGAAAATAACGTCTTACATCACAGGCATTATTCACAGTACTTTCTGAAACTGTGCGCTTTAACACTCCCCTGTTATTCCAGGTTCGTTGTAATTCTTGGAAGCAGTCACTTCTAAAATTTTGCCACATTTTTCAAAAACTGTGCTTTGAAAGGCTTGAAAGTGATGACTCATCACCAGTTTTAGTGATTCATGAAAATACTTTGTGTAGCGAAGGTTGCTGGTAAGCTTTTTCGTAATTCTATTTTTGGCTCACATAAGTTTTTTTCACCGCGGTGTTTTAGATCATATTACATCTTTTGGCTTGAGATCAGTTCTTACCAATAGTTTGAGCATCATTATTGAGGTGTACTGTTTTTCAGCCCGGCACAGCTTGAACTGCCTTTGACTTCTCTTAGTTTTGGAAATTTTGTCAAATGCACTTCGTTCCTTTCACACTTCACCAGAAAACCTAGTTCCGACGATGCTACGGTAGTACAACAGTGTGGGGCGGGGACGTCTGGGATGTTTGTTAATTTTGAGCATGACCGTGAATTATTTTTAGTTGTCTTTGGAGCATATAGCGGTATTAGTACATTTTCTCTGTTTCCAAATATGCCGTTTTTCATTATTTTAATACTTCTACCTTCAAAGGGGCTCCTAAGTCTTAATTACGTTTATTGTTACTTTTTTTTGGTTTTTCAATATTTTTTAAATTAATTAGTTGCAGAGAAATCTAGTGTGAGTGATTCAGTTCGAGAAAGTAATGATAACGGATGGCAGCCAAATGGATGTTTATACGTAGTTAAAGTATGTCTAATTTTTTTACTGGAGGATTTTCCACAAAAAATCATTAAATTTTACTGATTAACAAGGAGATGACCAAGACTGTAAAAATAAATCTCAAAACAGTTCAATGATTGAATTTGTCAAAGTAATACATGTTTTGGTCCTTGTTATCGTTCTGTTGCTTCCCCATTTATTGTTTTCGTTATTCTTCAGGTGAGATACGAATCGATTCGGCGTATCATTCTTGACTTACTTCCTGGATATGACTGTGTCAATATGTTTATGCTTCTTAATTACCCACCGGATCTTAGGCGAATTTCCAACAAAATTCATGGTGGAGACTTTTACTCTCGCGATCGACGACGGTAATTCCTCAATTTCTTTCTCACTGTGCGGAATAAAAGCCACTTTGTTTATGTATTGTGAGTGAATAGATAGAGTAGCTTTCTGTACACGTTGATGAATTTTGATGGTTAGAACTATTAAAGGTGTTTAACTGCTTAGGTCAATTCCCGAAAGGTCAGGTCCAAACAGGTATGATAGTTGCGCAGCAGTTAACGAAAGCCCAGTGCTTTGCTTGACTTTCCAGTTGACAGTTGATGTTAGTCTACTTGTTAGAGTTTTTTTTGCTATACGGTACCGTTAGTATTGAAGAATTGGTAATTTAGTAAATATTTTTCAGTTGCAGAAAATTTATACTTTAATTAGTCGCCTGAATTCCAAGACGAAGGTACCTATTGAATTTTCTAATATACGCTGGGAATATCTTGATCCTAAAAGGCATTTTTTTAAATGTTTTATTTCGTTTTTAACTACTTTTTGACTTTACTGAGACAGCCTTGTATGTTTCAGTACTCTGTCGATGATTATCGAATATGGTTTAGGTACTGTCCGATGCCTGTTAAACTTATTGCGGGAGAGTACAGAAGCTCCCCGAGGGGTCCTAATGTTGACAAATTCTGGCCAGAAAAACTGCGGCAGACAGAGTTTGGATTAGAATATTTGATTGCTGCACTTTTGTCACGCGGTGCTGTAGTTAAAGACCAAATCTTGGTGAATGTGTTTTTTAGCTGATTTAATCTTAAGCGAAGTTTAACAGTTATGAGTACAAGAAAACGTTTTTTTCTTTTGAATAAGTATTCTTTATTGAAAAATTTATGTCTGACTAATGAATTTCAGAAGACAAAGCAAGCGAAAGACGAGTTCCTCTCTTGCGTATTAGATCATTATTATAGGAAGCCAGAGGTAAGTCTGTCACTTACTGGTTTATATTTGGCGGTGCAAATTAGGTGTTTTCGGCGTTTACAGGTAAACAACCTGATAATGTAGAAGAGTTTTTAGTCAACTTATTATTTAGCCAGTAGTACAAGTATTGCCTCAATCTTACTTAACATTTTTCGTTAAAAAGTATTACTGGTTTTTTAATGTGCCTTCAAGTACAGTTTCTAGTTGGCTTTGGGAGGTCTGGAACATCTCCTTAATTTTGTTGATGAAACGAAACAAGTCAATTCTTTAATCATGACATATAAAAAAATAATGGAAAAATTATGGAAAGATCATGAAACGTTCCGTCAGGTGCTCCAAAAAGATAGCGATGACAACTATAAAAGGGTTAGGAAGGTAATTTTTGTTTCATTGTTTAGTATCTTGGCTTGATTTTTGAGAAATTTTCTCTGTAGATATTGTTTTCATTTAAGATAGTTGTCACACCAACGCGTACTCTCCTTGTTGTTCCTGAATTACTAATGGGGAATAGAGTGTTGCGCGAATATGATTCATCAGGTGATGGGGCTCTACGAGTTCAGTTTCGCGATGATGACGGAAGCAAATTAAGGATGAGTAACGCCGGAAAATATATT